AACTACACTCCTCACTCTGAATGTTCTCTATTACCTACGTGTGAAACAATCAGACGCTAAGTATTCACTTAATGAAGCATTATAACAAACCAAGGTCAGATAAAATATAAATAACTTAATAAAATCAAAAGAGTATAATAGTCAATCTGAGTACTAAAATCCATTCACATCCTAATGTATGACGGATGAGAATGCAAGGTGTGTAAACCTCAATGAGTTTATATAACATGAACCTAAGTGCTCAGTAGGAGTATAGGTAGTATAGTACACAACAACACTATACTGATAAATCATGATGGTGATTCACAACGTCTAAACATTATGACACAACGACTTCACACATATAGTGCCAAGAGTACACAAATGTACTCATACATGAATGTAAGAATGCACTAAACAGGATCGATCGATAACCACTCTACTCAAGGTATGTCAAGTGCACCTATAACTCTGAATGTACATACAACATGCTTTTATATCCAAATCGCATATTAAACATTTATTCAGAACATCAATAGATGTTGAAATGTTATAAAAATCCATTTGTTTTAGGGCAATTTATACCCTAAAACCATTCATAAAATCATTTTAATAAAACTTTATGAAAATATACCATAATAAGATTCAAAATCCATCTTTTCAAAATCACTCAAGGTTGAAAATCATCATTTTCATCATATCATATACATTTATAATAAAACAATGCACTTACCTGGTATGCCTCACTATTAAGCCTTACCATCAATATCAGCTTATTATTGTACTTTTTCCTTGCCTTTAGATTTGGTTATATCACGAGTTTGATCACGATCTACACGAGTACCAATATACAACACATACAAATATAAAATACATGTTATTATTCTTTCTAACATTTTATACACATAAATAATACCAAAAGTACTACTATTGTTTATGAATTCTTTTAGAATTCATCTTTACCTTTCATTTTTATTAAAATGGTCCCTTGTCATTTTTCTTTAATTCAAGTCTCAATCAATTTAATTAAATTTCCATCATTTAATTTACATCCCAATAGTCAACAATTTCACTATTACCACTTAAATTACTAACTTTTCCAATATTGGTCCTCAAACTTGTCAACCTTCGAAAATGGTCCAATTTCACATTCTAACATCAAATTCAACATTCTAACATTAAATTCCAGATTTGTGAATTATCTATTTCATAATTGCACATCAAACCCTTAACTTTTTATTATTATCAAATAGGTCCCCCAAATTTCACAAAATTACTAGTTAGTCCAATTAACATACTAAAGCTTGTAGAATCCTTCAAACATCATTTCCAACCCTTATAAAATTTTCCATAATTTTCTCACCATTTAACCCCATGGTCGAAAAATTTAGGGTAGGATTCCAGAGGTTTCTAATTTGATTCAAGCATGAAATCAACCTCTATTCAACATTTCAAAGCTTCTACAACTAAACCCTAACATAATTTAATCAAATCACAAACTTTCCCAAACCCTAGGTTTAGGCCGAATATAATAGAAGCATTTATAGCTGGTTTTAATCATAAAAAAAGCTTGAAAATGATTCTACAACATCAATAACCTCAAAATCCATCATCAATTCATAAAACCCACCAAATTTAGGAACTAAGAATTTCAAACAATACTAGCATGCATAATTGGTACCAAATGATAGAGCTCTTCGAATAAATCAATTTCCTATTTCAGGCTTTAATCCAAAAAACCTAAGAAAACTTCTAAAAAATGAAAATAAATTTTCTCTTACCTAGGGTTGGGACACACGACCATGTATCTTGAAGATGAGAAAAGTCTCATGAAATTTCTAGTTAATTTCATGTTAATTTGTCATTTATTAAGCTTAAATGAATTTAAAATTCATTTAATGAGAAATAACAATTTCACCCTTAATGAATCTTAAAAATTACAACTACACCAAGCCACATGTTAATTATCATCTCCCCAAAGTCAAAGATGAACAAAATATTTTACCTTTAAAACTTATCCCATGCATTTTTCCAAAAATTTAAATCTAGCCACTTTCATCCAACTGTCCATACTGAACATGAAAATTAATTTCAAATATAATTATCTATAATACTTTTCATTGTTTTAAAATGTGGAAATAATATTTCTAAGCTTAATTTATCACCCTTCAAAATTTCTCAAAATTCCGGTTTGATCCGATTAATTGAATTTTTCTCGAACTTTAACACTTTATAGCTTTTAACCCAAATTCCGAATCAAAAATCTAATTCCCACGAAAACTTCATTCTTGGGGGTGAACTTTTCATTTATGGAATAAAAATTCTTTTTGGGAGAATTACCACTTTAGTCCCTAAACTTTTCCTAAATTTATACTTTTATCACTAAACTTTCAAAATTTATGTTTTGGTTACTAACCAAAATTTGGGGTATTACAATTCAACCCCTTAAGAAAAATTCACCCTTGAATTTTTAGAATGTACCTGGAGTAAAAGATATGGATACTGCTTTTTCATGTCCTCTTATCTTTCCTAGTTAGCTTTCTCGACTTTGTGATTCTGCCAAAGAACTTAGACTAGAGGGATCGTCTTGTTCCGTAGTTCTTTGACTCCTCGAGCTAAAATATCTATTGGTTATTCTTCATAGGTCAAATATGGCTGAATCTCTACTTCCTCTGGGATGATGACATGCGAAGGATCTTATCGATACTTCCTAAGTATCGACACATGAAAAACATTATGAATCTTGTCAGAATCTCGTAAGGTCCAATAAATCTCGAAATCAGTTTTCCTTTGCGTCCAAACCGTAATACTTTATTCCAATGATACTTTAAGAAACACTTTATCACCCTCTTTATATTCAATCTCTTTTCTCTTCAAGTCCGCATAAAACTTATGTCGATCGGAAGCTATCTTAAGATTACCTTGGATAACTTTCACTCTATCTTTTACTTCTTTCATTAAATCAGGGCCAACTAGATCTTGATCTTTTAACTCGAACCAGTTAATGGTGTTTGACATTTTCTTTCTGTATAAGGTTTTATACGGATCTGTATTATTGCTCGATTGATAGCTGTTGTTGTAGGAAAATTCTAATAAAGGAAAATACTTTTCCCACGATCATTTGAATTCAATTACACATGCCCTTAGCATATCTTCCAAAATCTAAATAGTCCGCTCGGACTGACCATCATTCTCCAAAATGGAAAACCGTGTTGAAATTAAATCGAGTACCTAAGGCTTTATGCAACAACTTCCAAAACCTTGAAGTAAAACTTGGATCTCATCAGATACTATTGATACAGTCACTCCATAAAGTTAAACTATCTCATTTATATACAAAACATACTCTATCTGAACTGGAATGAAGTGAGTTGTCTTGGTTAATTTGTGTGGACAACACCTGATCAAAACTTTCCCAACTCTTTTCTTATTTCAAAACAAATTTGTTTACACTAATATTTTCTTTTAAACTTTTATTAATATACTCATACTTATATTAACTTTAAAAACATATCATTATAATTTATTATTTATAATAAGAAAAGATATAAAATATTAACTAAATCAGAATTTATATAATTTTTAAATAAAATAATAAGAGAATTCATTAATTTACTTTGAAATTATTAAAATTATTCAGTATATTTACATATAATACAAATAGTGTGCCTCGCATACAAAAGGAACGCGCCTGCTCCTACGCCTAGGCTCTAGGATTTTTTGCGCCTCGGTGTGCCTTGCGCCTTTAAAAACCAAGGGGCAAAACAATGGATCCTAAATATTGATAAATTCTTTTACAAAAAAGGAACAATACCTATTTTTATTATCTCAATGTCTTAAAAGAATTAACCATAAGTGAAACATGAGACAAGATCTAGCGCTTCTAAATAAAACCTACACTATTTAGAGAAAACCCCTGATTGTAATTTGGCAAACCACAAAGTAGAGTGGTAATCAGGCAAAAGGAGATAGAAAACTGAGAGAGGAAAGTTCATTTAAAAAGTAGGATGTGCCGATGGAAAAATATGAAATTAAAATCAATTTTTTAAATAATGAGACAACCAACAGAATTTTCGTTGTTAAGGATTCATATCTTTATAAGACAACATTTTCGTCGCTAAGCTGTTAAACTTACTACCACTCTATTCTATATTTATATTAGTTATTGTTAGGATTTTTAGAATAAACACTTTATAAATGAACAAAACTCCACAGAGAACTAAAATTCTGGGGTGAAAGTCGAATAATATGATTTGGGAAGATGAACACATTAAGCCAACTATCAGCTGCACCAACAGGTGACTTGATTTGTTTAAGAGATCCCCCGCCCCCCAACTTGTTGAATTGGTTTCGTATTTTATCTTTTGAGCTTTGGTCAAAAGATAACCAGCAAATTAACACACATAATTATCACGGAAATAAATTATGTATAAATACAACTATTCCTAGTATATCATGTTTTCTAAGTTCTTTTTGTCCTTGAGCTTGCCTGTAAATTTATCGAATATTTGAATTGTAAATATATGTTTCAAACCATGTAATTGTGCATCACTGTAAATTATAGAAGGTGAATCCCCATTCTTAAATTTGTCAATTGTCATTTACATAAGTCAGGATTAAAGATCAACTAGAGACTGATAGAAAGCTTAATTTTTTCTCTCTTTTTGAATATGTGGTGATTGGAACTATTCCAATTGATGGATCAACTGTGTTGCTAAGCACATTGAGTAAACATTTTGGTTTTATTGAGGCATCATCGCAGCTAGAACAGGTCCATTGGCCAAATCACAACTATCAGAGAGCATATTTAGTGATTTAGTCCATTACCTTCAAACTCGAACCTAGAAAATTATCATCTATGCGGAAAGCTTTTGAGGCTCCATAAGTTTTTACTGATTTGCAGAATAAGGCTTTGGCAGTTAAAGAGAACATATTTTATTATAAAAGATAGCTTCAGAAAAGATGTCAAATATTATAAAAGAGAACATATTTTATTTTCAGAAATAGACACTATGTTTCACCTTTAAATCATGAGTCAGCTTTAAATTTTCTTCAAGGTCACCTTTTCTGCGAGCCAATTCATTTGAAGCAGAAGTGATGTATTCATTTTGCTTTTCATGAATTGCCTGTAACACAAAAATGTTGTTATATCAGTTTGTGTAAAATCGTAGTCAATCCATTACGATAAACAAAGAATTAATGCATAGAAATGTGGAGACTATAACGTACCATCCGCAAGTCAGAGAATTTCCTCTCCAGCGCACATTTTTCATTCAGCAGCTGCAATTCCTGAGACCATACAGATTAATATGATTCTATGTATGACAATCAGAAATGTTAGATTCTAACACACAATCAAATTAGTTGGAAGCATTTTGCATCCAAAAGGAAACAGAAATTAATCTACATGCAAGCAATAGCCTTCAAAAATGTCAAACCTTCACACATGTAACGGCAATTTGTTCACGAAGATGTTGAATCTCCTCTTTTTGAGCACCAACTCGCAAATGAAGTTCCTGTTCATAAAGTTTATGTGAGGGAACCACGCAAAGCCTCGTCATGATTCTAGATTCCACTGTTGGTATGTTCAGAAAGTTCTAGTACCTTAGCCTCCGGACCTTGAAAATCATAATTTCCATCTTCATTTGATTTACTTGGAGCAAGATGTGTTTCAGAGCTGTGCCTGCTTAACAAGACAATACTTGAGATGATAACAAAACAATAATACTTTACATAGAATACTCATAGAAGATTGTCAAGTAAAAAAATTGGACCTAGTTAAGGAACTACCTTTTAAGAAATTCGGAGTCCTGTGCTTTAAACCCATCACTATTGATCCCATGCATCGAGTACTCACTAGAAGACATCACATCGTTAGTATAGGTACTCTTCAAGATAGGCTTTGATTGCAGCAGAGCTAGTATTTTTCCAACATCACAAACAAAAGCCCACACTGTACCTTCTTTTATTTTCCTGTTCCATATTTCATTGTCCAGAATGTAAAACGGTTGTGCATGATAAGAATACCACTTTCCAGAGCTGCGAGATAATGAATATGAAATAAAAATAGTCAGAACTGGATCCAGATCCAAGACCCAGCAAAGTGATATTGGACCGTATAACAATTTTCTGATTTTTTTTTCTTTTCTTACCAAGAGTTCATCTGTTAATTTCAACAGTTTCTTTTTTCTTTTTTTGGGGGGGAGGGGTAATTATTAACATTCATTCAATATGCAAAACTATGGATGATCTCAAATTAGTAAGGCCTATCAAGTATAAATGATAATATACATGAATTACAAAAATCCCCATTAAACAAGGCCACTCCAATTTCCAGAGAGCACACAGAACTAGTTGATTGTAGCATGAAGAAGTAATGATCCCACAGTTCAAAGGGGGAAAGATGCTTTTCTCGTTCCTCCATTCCAAGTACATCATTCGAAATTCAATTCCGTAACAGTAATTTTCATTTTAAACAGCACAGAATCCTGTTTTGGTATTTCCACACATGGCAGACTAGGCAAACGAAGTGCCTGACCGTAACTAAGACTAAAAACCCAGAAACTAAGAATCCAAACCCGCGGAAACAACAATACAATATAACTATCTAGCCCAGAAAACTTAATTTTCTCTAAATTTTTTTCAGAAACATAAATCAAAAGTAAACTTCATTACACGTTATAACCCGAAGCTTCCAGCCGTGTTTAAATTCTAGAAGAGCCTATAAAGAAAAGCTCCGTTGTGCAACAAAGGGGAAATAGCTAAAAACTAGGGAAAATTCATGTAGCTATATAAAATTGAGTAAGAAATAAATTTGTCCAATATTCTCGGATCCAAACAATAATTTCAAAAAAAGGAAGGGAAAGCTTCAATCATTTTTACCTGAGTTGGGATTTAATTATTTTGTCTGAATCTGCCCCCAATTAGAATGGTAAAGAAACCATTGGATTTTTGTAAGGAAGGGCAAAGTGTTTAAGCGAAAAACAAAATAGGGGACAATAATAGGATTTTGGTTGTACGAGGTGGTTAAATGCTGCTGGTCGTTAGACTTTTCTTTTTATCTTCTTTTTTTTACTAGTGTGTGAAATAAGAGGTTTTGAAGTACGTAAACGGTGGACAGACTACTTAGTAAAGTCTTCATTCAACTTTTGAAATTTATAAATTATTCATCAATATTTTGATTTTGTTATAAATTAATATGTATCGTTAATTAAGGATGACGTGACATATTAAATTAATAAATAATATCTGATTTAATCCCTTTTTTGTAATTAAAATTTAATTTTGACATTTTTCAAAATTTATAAATAATAATTTCAAGGGTAAACTATTTATTTAGTACATAAACTATCAGTTTTATTTCGTTTTAGTATATAAACTTTTATTTGTTTCAAAACTATGCTTAACATTGACTTTTTGTTTTATTTTTCTACCTTAACGTTAAAAACTTAATGAAATTGTTATATGTAACACCTTTTTATGAGTAAATTGTATAATTCATCATTCAACTATTTTAGTCTCTAAAGTTTAATTTAATTACTTAACTTTCTAATTACTGTTAATTTAATCGCTCTAACTTTTGAATTCATTTTTTAATTTTAATTGCATATTAACAAAATGATAATAAAAAATCTCCTTGTCATAAAGATCATTAATAAAATATTTGTTAAAAACCTTTAGTCCATATTATAAAGTGCCATGTCAAAATTAAACTAAACCTTAACTAGGTCCAATTGTTTAAAACCTTTGTCTAACTCTAATTTTAGGGTTAGTTATTTCCACCTAGACCTTTTCTAAAGTAAGTCACATCGTCGGGAGAAATATCTCCTCATCGATCGTCAATAGTTGAGTATTCAACCCGACATTGCAACCCCGTAGATTCGACCTGGACGTTATGCCCAAATCTAGGCGGTTACATATCGTATTAAAAAATTCTTTTCATATTTAAAACAACATTAAAATTCATATAACAGTATAATATGAAATCAGCCATAAGAAAGTTGCATACGATATATATAAATATATATATATATAAACCGTATAAAACACATACATAACAAAATACCGATAATATAGATATATTGAGACGGTAGCAAAAACATGTGGCACTAAAGTATAACAAAAAGGCATATAAAGATATACAGTGCTACAAAAATAAGAGTAGTCGGTCCTCCTGATGCCAAGTTCGCTAGCTTACGGTCTGCTATTATATGAAAAGGTTAAAATTTATATAATGAGCTAAAAAGCCCAGTGTGCTCCTTACGGTGTATAAAGACATACTTATAAAATACTTCAATAAAAATCAGTTTATCAAACATGTTTTAAAAATAAGAACAATACCTTCATCTGGTCACCAAAATGTGTAGGTTCCCCAAAATTATACACCCACCTGTACACCCGGTAAGGACCTTATACATAGAGCATATGGACCTGCGGTGAGGACTTACCTTGTGCACAAAGAAGAGGAGCCTATGGTAAGGTCTTACAAGTCATAAACTAGGCCTAATATACTTCCTCCAATAATACCCCCAATGACAGTAATAAACATGTATGTAATCAAGTGAAAACAATAGTTTAATCCATTAAAACATGAAAATGTTCCAGACTCAGAAATTAGATACATAAATAGAGTAATCAGAGATCATATCAGAAATATATAGTAAATCAAATATCAAATAAACAATATCCAGAAAATCAGGTATCATGTCGTAAAAATATTCAGTATCATCAAAAATCTAAAACAGTTCAGATGAATAGTTTAAAACGGTAATTAACACTATCAAGAAACACACATGTACCGATTTGAGTAGTCTGATAGGAAAACCTACTACTAAGTCTGTCGATCACAATCAGCAGTAATGCTAGATCATACGAATCAGAAAATCCATATCGGAATCTTAATATGAATAATAATAACCTCTATTTAAACAATTTATAGAAACCTACGTGTTGAACTATATTTTGATATAACAATTTAAGGCAAAATGTTTTTGGACTTAAATTGAATTTGTTCAAAGTTTTCAAAAATAATTCAAATTCCTTAAAACTTGGAATTGAGCACAAAACGATTTTTTGGACAAGTAATATTGATAATGTTCTTACAATATCGATACCTCATGAACATTATTGATACTATTCATATGGTACTGATACCAAGGTAAGGGAAGTATCAATACCAAGGTAAGGGAAGTATCGATACTCACTAGGCAGTATCGATACTACCAGCTTTGCTCAAATTCCAGAATACAAAAATGGTACCGATACCCAAAGGAGTACCGATACTACTTTGTATAGTAGTATTGATACCATAGACATAGTATCGATACCATCATTCCCCAATGGCTAGTAACAGCTAGTTGATTTAAATATAACAAAGGTAGCACCAATACTCCCTTTAGGAGTACTGATACCCTCTGTTCTGGGTAGCTTTATTTTGCACGAAAATTAATCCCCAACGGCTCCAAAACACCTCCAACAGCTAGAAACAACCACAACAATATTCTAACACATAAATATAAGTTGAGGAGACTTGAAAAAGAGTTAGAAACACCTATCCTAGCAATTAAACATAAGAGAAGAGTTTTTCATTCTTATTTTCTTTTCTCTTGTAAGTATTGTGTTTGTGTAAGCTTAATTCTTTGTAAACACCTACCTTTGAGAGGTTTATTTGTTTATTTTTTTTTATCATTTGTAAAGGGTTTTTGGTTCTATCTTAGCTAAGTCAAAAGATAGGGAGTTTGTAAAGGGTATCTATTGATCCTTTAAAAAGAAAGAACAAATTAGTGAATTTGTTAGAAAATCCTTAGTGATGAGCTAAGGTAGTGGAGGTAGACTTGGTTGATAAGTCGAACCACTATAAATCATTGTGTTCATCATTTTATCTTTTGCTCTCCTTACTCCCAAATCAAATTATTGCTAATTAACCCCCTTACAACTTTTTCGGTTGTTCAATCGAGCCTCTTCGATCCTAACAATTGGTATCAGAGCTTTACTCATTAGAATATTTAACCACATTAAGAATATCCTAGAAGAAGCTCTACCGATTCCCAACACAACCGAAAAAGAGATGGTTTCAACTTCCGGTGCTTATTATATTGAAGATTCACAACCGGTCAACAAACCACCCTACTTCAATGGAACAAATTATGTCTATTGGAAGAATAGGATGATGCTCTTCATTCAAGCCAATGATATAGGAGCTTGGAACTCTATCATGAAAGGCTACATCATTCTAACCAGTGAGATGGACAATTGGAGTGATGGAGAGAAAGAGAAGTTTCAACTCAATGCTAAGGCTATGCACATTCTCTTTTGTGCATTAGGCCCGGATGAATATGGAAGAGTCTCCTCTTGTTCTAATGCCAATGAGATATGGGATAAGCTCCAAGTCACTCATGAAGGAACTGAATAAGTGAGGGAAACCAAGATAAGTCTTCTCAACCATAGCTACGAGAATTTCAAAATGAAACCCGATGAAGACATCAAAGTTATGATAAATAGATTTTATGTGATTGTCAACGGTCTAAAGGGATTTGAAGATGTAATACCTAATGAGAAGCTTGTTATGAAGATGATATACTCTCTTCCAAAGTCTTGAAAGTCAAAGAAGACGACGATTATCGAAGCTAGAGACCTAAAGTCTCTCACTTTCGATGAGATAATTGGTTCTCTTCTCACTCATGAGTTGATAGTGAAGGAAGAGGAAGAAGATGAAGAGAAACAAAACAAGAAGAAGAAAGAGGAAGGCATTGCCTTCAAGTCCACCAATGAGAGCTATCAAGATTCAAGTGAAGAGGTGGATAAAGACGATGATAAAGATGATAAAGAATAAGAGATGGTCAAGCTCTTAAAAAAGTTCAGAAGATTCATGTCTTCCAAGGAAGTGAAGAATGAATCAACCAAGAAGAAGGGTCCCCCGATGTGCTTCAATTGTCAAAGAACGGGGCATGTCAAGTATAAATGTTCTCTCTTAAAGAATAAGGGATGATTTAAGAAAAAGGTATTTGTGGCAGCTTGGAGTGATGAAGATGACTCCAATGATGAAGATGAAGTAGTCAACCTATGCCTCATGGCCATCGAAGAAGATTCAATGGTATCTTCTAACTCAAATGATTTAAATTCACATTCTTTTAATGAGTTACAAGATGCTTATAATGAGTTGTATTTGGAATTTGAGACCATGAATTCCAAATATACGAAATTGATTTCAAAACTTAAAGTTGAAAATGATTTGGTTTTGAAAGTAAAAGTTGATTTTGAGAATCAAAATGAAATTTTGAAAAATGATTTAGAGATTTCAAAAATCAAAATCAACGATTTAGAAAAAGAAAATTTTGATTTGAAAAAAATGCTTGAGAGCTTGACAAAAGAAAAAGAAACAATTTCGAAAAACAACTCATCATGTTTAAAAATGACAAAATGCTCATATTGCCATTTTTATGGTCATTTGGAACATACTTGTCCCATAAAGAAAAGAAAATCTTTTGAAATTAGACAAGTATGGGTTCCTAAGGGAACAAGGGGCATTAAAATTAACGTTAAAGGATCCAAAGCAATTTAGATACCAAAATCTACTTAAATGTCTCTTGTAGGTGTGTGGGAGAAATGGTGATGAAAGTGATGATATTCAAATGCTCTAGCCACACTTGAAAAATGAATGAGTAACCTCTAAGCTTAGTGCTTTTATTTTGGTTATTTGGTTGCTCATTTAGTTAATGTATGCATGAGTTTTGATTTTAAATGATTATGCATTGTTTTTAATCTCAAGTATGTTGAAAAATGCTTTATGATGAACATTTTAAACTTTTAATGATTTTTTTCATAATTTTTAGTTCATCATAATGAATTTTGGTCAAAATTGATTTTCAATGCAAATGATATCTCTCTAACAATTGATATCAACTTTCCAAATGCTTTGATTTTACTAATTTTAAATTTTTCACCTAAATTTAAATGTTTATGCATGTGTTTTAATTGTAAATGATATCTCTCTAACAATTGATAT